ATGGTAGAGAAAAGAGAAGAAAAGGTGTTTGTGTGACTGTATTGAGCGTCAGGGATTTATCCTGAGAAAAGATGGGGCAGGCCATTTCCTAGGCAGATGGCTGGGGAAGTTAGTTAGGAAGTTTTCCAGATTCCTAAGACCCCATGAACAGGTTAAGGACACACAGAGTACTCTCTTCACCTTCATGTCAGCTGGTTTGGTGGAGAATTTATCTCTCCGCTCCCCATGTTCATCGTATAGCAACACCACTCGGTCCACCATGCAGACGGCAAACTTGGCATTGTTCTGGGACCAAGCCATGCAGGTCACCTTTGCAGCTCCATCCTGCAGAGGCAGAGGGGGCAAAAAGAAGCCCAGCTGTTCGTCTAGAGTGACAAAAGCATTTCTAGTTCCTTTAGCTTTAGTGTGACTTTGGTCAATTCTCCACATCATAGTCCTTAAAACAAAAGATGCATCCTGGTCTCCAAGGCTATAAAACTCTGGCCCAGGAGAACAAGGTGCTTTAGAAACCCATAATGCAAATACACTTTGAGGTGACACGCAGAATCAACTGTACCGATGTGCCCCTGCAATGGCCTTCCTCCTTCATAGCTCAACTGAAATAAATTCAATTGGTCTGATAAGTTTTTTTTTTTAATAAGTTCTGGTCTTCGGCCATTCATTCAATATATACAATTTTTTTCATTCAATATTATTTTTTAAAGGTTTTATTTATTTATTTGACAGAGAGCGAGAGAGGGAACACAAGCAGGGGGAGAGGGAGAGGGAGAAGCAGGCTTCCCGGTGAGCAGGGAGCCCAATGTGGGGCTCAATCCCACGACCCTGGATCATGACCTAGCTGAAGACACTTCATGACTTAGCCACCCAGGCACTCCTCATTCAATATTTTTTTAATACCTTACTGAGAAAGGCATGTAGCCAGGGGCTGAGAGGAAGACAAAAAGCAAAATACGGTCCCTGCCCCCAGGCTAATAACATGGTGCAAAACAGGAAAAATCCCATTAGAGAGACCTATACAAAGCACGAGGATAGTTTGGAGAAGCCTGAAATCTGAAATCATTTTAGGTTTAAATGACCAACTTTAAGCTTTGAAGAATTGGATGTAGTTAAATGGGGGAAGTTATCTGAAGTAGAAGCAATGATAGGAGCAAAGGCAAATCTCATTAAGAGACAGTAACTTAATTTAGCTGAAACTATCTTGCAAATAGAACAGACGAAGTAAGGCAGGAAAAACAGGGAGGCCAGCGCAAAAAAACTTTGAAATTTGGCCAAGGAGTTTAGGCTTATTTGGTAGGAAAAAGACAGTGAAAGTTCTGGAACGGGGAGCAAAACAATCAGAGTTGAGATTTAAGATGAAAATGCCACCAGCTTATTTTTTTGTTTTTGTTTTTTAATTACCCCCCCCCCCAAATGACGCACTGCTCAGAAGTCCAATTTTGAAGTGATCATCTCCCAGTCGATTATTCTCTTCCACATCTGCCCACCACCTGGTCCTCAATGGTTCTGCACTAAGGACTTCCCTCCTTGAAATAAAACATTTAGCTTCTGCTCCAATTGTATGATTAATTACTTGGGCTCCAGAGCTCTGGTTTGAAACTTTGTTTCTTGTCACTCCTAACCCACCTACCTCCAAAGTCCCAGGTTTAAAAGGCCTTTTTTTTTTCTCCCCTCCATCAAAATCCTCAGAATCAGAAAATAGCCACACCATCACCTTTACCCACCTCCACCGCTTGATTAAATTAGGTTTGAAGGGCT